TCAAATTCATTTAATTCAAAAAACATTTTAAATATACATTTTACTTCATTTTCTTCTTCAAGTTTAACAAAAAATTTAATTTCTTCCTCCGTTTCCTCAGACAAAAAGTTAATAAAAAAATTTCCTTTTTCTTTAAATTTTATACAAATTTCTATATGAGAATATCCCTGTTTTTCAACAAATTTATTATTTTCCATAATTGTATGAAAAATATTTTTATTTCTTTTCTATTTTTATAATAATGTATTTCCTCTAATAATTTCCTCTAATTTTATTATTAAGGGCCAGATTTTAGGTTGTAAAAACTTTAAAATAGGTACCAAATAGGTTGTACGAAATGGAAAATCGGTGACAAAATATGTGACAAATCTAGGAAAATAGGTTTAAAAAATGGTAGACATAGTGGGCCATTTTTTGATATAAGGGGGAGGGGTAAAATGCAATTTTTGGCTCGGGGTAATTTTTCAGAATGATGGTTACATTTATATTTGTAGGAAATTTTATTGGCTATCCAGCGAACATAAAATAAAACGCTGACGTTTACCCTAAGGTGTCGAAAATATTTTTTGAAAATTATTTTTCCCCCCGTTTTTCGTTGATAACAGAGGTTTATTTTTGGATATTCTTGATTATTTTTTAAAAGTTTAATAGGAAATACATTATTATTATATTTTGTTTTTTTAATTAATTTTTTAGGTCCTTCAGGATTTAAATAACAGATTAATCTTGTTAATTTGTGTTGAACATCTCTCCATTCATCTAAATATGTATCTATTCCATTAACATTTAATATTTTTATTTCCTCTTCACCGGTCCCATTTAATTCTATATTAGCATAGAAAATTGGTTTAACTCCTACCATTCTCTATAAATTAATTTTTATAATTTTAATTATTTCTATTATTGAGTCGACCCCCTATATATCAAGTATCTATACATACATCATTTTGCGATTTATCGAGAATCGAATTTTTCGAGATCTCGATCTCTATTCTCGTACGACACTCCTGTCCGGTCTCTAAATTATCCTATATTATATCAACTACATTTTTTAACTAAGACTTAAGTATTTTAATAAATTTAAAAGTTAAAAATTATTTTAATTTATGTTTGAAGTAATTGGAGTTTGGGTATAGGGGTTGATTAAAGGATTAACCATACTTTTATTATCAGAGATGCTTTGCAATTCTTAAGAGTTTCTCATTGGGTAACCTCAAATTTAAAATTAATTTTTTAATTGTTTCTGCATTTTTCATGAAAATGAAAATTGGCCGAGATAATCCGGATTTACCGGATATACCAAATCCCACTTTTTCGGAAAAATTTTTCGGAAGAAATTTAACAAACCCATTTGATAAAGTATATTTTTCTGAGTATTTTCCACAAAACCGCTTAAAAATATCTTTTTCCGGAACAGAGATATGATTTTTTGAAAATCGTATTTTTCCCTTAAAAATCGAATTTTTTGCAAAAATTGACGAAAAATACGATTTTCAAAAAATCATATCTCTGTTCCGGAAAAAGATATTTTTAAGCGGTTTTGTGGAAAATACTCAGAAAAATATGCTTTATCAAATGGGTTTGTTAAATTACTTCCGAAAAATTTTTCCGAAAAAATGGGATTTGGTATATCCGGTAAATCCGGATTATCTCGGCCAATTTTCATTTTCATGAAAAATGCAGAAACATGTCAACTGAGATACGAATAGAGCTTTCGATTGGTATATAGAACGTATTTTTTGAATAAAAAATTAAGAATTTAAAAAACTTTTTCTAGTGCTTCCATACTTTTTTCCACGACTGTATGTTAAAGATTTTAATTTTAAGGAACTAAAAACTAGAGCTCGGCACGGGACGGGACCCCGTACGGGATTTTACGGGATCCCGTCCCGGAATCCCGGGTTTTTCGCGGAAAACGGGATTACCGGGATTCCGGGATTTAGGGGATTAATCCCACGGGATCCCGTCCCGGTCGAACTTTTGAAACGTAATCCCGTTCCGGGATCCCGGGAATTTTTTTTCAAATTTACGGGATTTTAATTTACTCCAGTAAACTGCCTGCGGAGCTGAAAAAGGAAGAAATCTGGCTTCTTGGCCTTCCAAAATTCTCAAAATTTTCGCCTGCGGCGCTAAAAAAGGAAGAAATCTTGTGACCTGCTCTTCAAAAATTCTTAAAATTTTCGCCTGCGGCGCTAAAAAATGAAAAAAGCGGGCTTCTTAGCCTTCCAAAAAAGACTAAGTTGGCTTCTTCCAAAATTAGAAAAGTTTTGCCTGTGGTGGATAGATTGAGAGTAATAAGAATGGATCTTTGGGATTAACAGAGATATAGAGGGATTGTGAGGTGTACGTTGGTTTGAGGTTTAAATCGTCTTAAGTTCGATTTCGGAGGATTAAGAGATATATGATGTCGGGGTATTGGAAAAGAATATCATGGATTTGGGATTAACACCGGATTAAAAAGGATTTGGAGGATAATAGTGGGTATCAGGGATTTATGGATTAAGAGGTATATCAGGATCTGGGGATTAAGAGTATATTGAGGGATTCGGGGAATAATCCCCATATATCCATTCAAATAGTTGAGCTCTAAATCCGCTATATTCGACTTAACCCACCGTTCTTCAAATTACCTTTTATCACTTCCAATATACCGATATCACCCTACATCCACCTATAAGCATTCAAATCCTTTTAATCTCTCTTAATCCACTGATATCCCTCTTAATCCTCTGATATATATTCATTTGTCCCTTAAATCAATCGAAATCCACCGATAGATTCCAAATCCGCCGATATTTAACATATTTATAATTTTAAAATTTTTTTGTGAAAATCCCGGAATCCCGGCGGGATCCCGGGAAATTTGAGAACGGGATTACCGGGATTACGGGATTTACGGGATTAATCCCGCGGGATCCCGTCCCGTACAAAATTTTGAAAAAAAATCCCGTTCCGGGATCCCGGGAATGCGATTTTGCCGACCTCTACTAAAAACTTACAATTCCCTCTTCCATATTTACTTTTTTAAAACAAATATTAAATCCTTTTCTATAAGTTTCAGCACTATCAGGATCATCTTCAAACAATTCTTTAATTCTAATTATTTTTATTTCCGAGCCATCTTTTAATATTTTAATATCAATATTATTTCTTTTATAAGATTTTTTTCCATTTCCAAAGCAAGCATCTGAATAATCGTTTATTAAAATATATATTTTTTTAATTTTTATATATTACTTCAGAAAATCAAAATTAGGTACTTTTCAATTTAAGAAATTTTTCAAAAAAAAAATTGTTCTTAAAAGATACCTTCTACATATTCGGCATACCTTCTATTCCGATTTTTCAGCCCCAAGTGGATATCTAAAATCAAGTCTTTATATCAATAGAAAAAATATATAATCAAATAGAAAAAATAAAAATGGAGTTGATCCGATACTTGGCACATTATTTTTATCAGGGCCCTATTTCAATTGTCCGTAGATTCTACAAACAATTGAAATAGGGCCCAGATCGAGCCCATTTACAAGTAAAAGAAACTATAATTTAAAAATTATATCACCATTATATACTATTATATAAATTAAATGATTATTATTTAATTCAAAATTTATTTCAATATCAATTTCTAGTAAATTATCCATTTCTCCCCCCTCTTCATTAATTAAATCAATATTATTTTGATTCATTTTTGTAATTTCCATTTTTATTAATTTAATAAATAAATTTCCATCTTTCTTTATATTTTTTTCAGAATTTTCAATTAATATTTTTTGGTTAGGTTTTAAAATATTTTTTGAATAATAATTGGGAAATATTAATAAAAATAATTTAATTAAAATAATTATTTTTAAATACATTTTCTATTAAATTAAAAAAGAATTGATTTAAGAATTTATTTTTATTTATTAAAAAAATATTTTTTTAAATAAATTTAGCGCTATCCTTTTAAGCCCTATTCATTAAAATAATTTATCTATTAAATGTCTAAATTAAAATATTTTTTGAACTTTAAAGTTCATTTTTATATAGAATAAATATAATAAACATGTATTTTTTGAACTAAAAATACATTAAAAATATGTAAATAATTTTTAAAAGTGCAAAAAATATTTCTTAATTTTATTGTGAAATAGTCTAATAATTAAATAAAAAAAGGATCCGTTAATTTTTAGAGACAAAAACTACCAGGATTTCCGCAAATTTTCTGATAAAATATGGGATATTTGAGGATTTCCAAAGATTCGCCAAATCTAAATTAACCCTGGTAAATTTTTCTTAACTAGAGAGGTCCGAAATATCACGGAAAATCGACAAATATACGCATGTATATGAACCGACCCAAAATATGCACTGAAATATGCAAAATTTCCTAAAATATGCACTAAATATGCAACAAAAATAGTGAATGCACGAGAGGGCCAAATATGCAAATATATGCATTTAGAAAGGGTCCTAAAGTGCTCGGACCAATGTAGAAACACCATTTTTGAGCTTCTTTCATCAAGGCATTCCGCATAGAAAACATGCATTTGCATGTTTTGGGCCGCCCTAATAATAATTAATTAATAACTGTCGGAATTCCGATTTCCGACCCACCTCTGACTTGGACTATGATTTATGCAAAAACGATTTGTATTGGATAAATTTTCTAAAAAATTTATAAATGGATTATTTCTTAATTTTCTACTTTATACCATTTTAATTATTCTTTATTTCATGTAGAACCTAAATAATTTATTTATAATTATATTTTTATACAGTAAATAAAACTCTAAAAAAAAATATTTTTAAAAAACTGATTGATATGTTTTTAATTTTCATAAATTTAAATAATTTATAATAATTCATCTCTCATTGCCATTTCATCATTTGTTGTGCTTAAACCGCTGTTGAACTCTCCACGATTAATTTTTTTATTGTTGTTATTGTCTTCATAACGAGATTGTGCTATTGTTGTTGTTGTCATTCTTCTGAAAAATATTTTTTAAAAATAATTTTTATTTTTGATTAAAATTTATTTGCCTAGTTTTCCAATTTATTGCCCGAAAAATGAAAGGACGTAAAATAAGTGATGTCATAGTGGATATACTTCCATTTTTCTGTTGTCTTTGATTTGAACCAAAATTTGTGCTAATTCTTTAAAAGAAAATATATTTTTATTTATTATTTCTATAATTATGTACCTAGAACAATTCCCCAAAACAGTCACAGCATCCCTCAATTCCCTATTCATTGCAGCATAAAATACCCAATTTCCAGCACTATTTAAATATGGCAAAAAACTTTAAAAAAATTTTTTTAATCAAATTATTTTTGCTTCTAAATTACCTAGAAATCATTCTCAATGAACGAAAGAAATCGTTGTCTAAAGCTGTCGGCACTCGAGAAATTAATTGGAAATATTCAATTATTGGAATTAAACTTTAAAAAAATTAAATAATTATTTTCTCAAAATTTCCTCAAAAAAACATACACAAAAAGCCAAAATGGCCCCCAACAAATCATATGAAAGCCAACAACTCGCAATACAGATCTGACAACTTTAGTTGTGCAAGCAGTAACAAACATTCCTTGACCTGATTTTTAAATTTAAATTTAAAAGGAAGAATTATATTTGTTTCTACCTCTAGGCCAGCACTCTTGAAAGGAAGAACGAGTTTTACGTAAATGTTGAATAAGGAAGAAGTAGCAAAGGGAGATAAACAGAAGGGGTAAAACAAATCCAAGAACAAACATATAACAAATAAAAAGTGACATAACTAGAAAAAAATAAATACATATTTTTGAGAGAGGGAGAGAGTTAAAAGGGGGAATAATTTTATTATTAAATTTATTTTGTATTAAATCCCAACATAAAAAAAATAAATTTCCGAGTTGCGAGGATTTGGGATTCTTGACCTTAGAGCTTCGGGAATGCTCAATTTTTCAGAAATAAATTTTTTATAATTATAACTTTAATAATTTAATTATCCTATAATTAATTATCATTATAACATAAATTCACCATGATCTGGCAAATCTGACCCACAAAGTGTTTGAGTACTACTTTCAACACTTCCATCATCATAAAGTAGCTCTAAAGGTTTTAAATCGGCATAATATATCATTGGAGAACAAAGGAGAACACTAAAGAAGAGTAAAACTAGAACAACACCTAAAGCATTGGAAACACGTTTGCGACGAATTCTGAAATTTTAAAAATGAAATTTATTTAAAAAATAATTATTTATTCTCTATACCTACAACATAACCAATAAAAAGGTCTAGAGACCGCCAAAAATCTTTCAAAGCTCATTATTGTCAAAATAGCTACAGACAATAATTTATTAATATTTTCAACGGTAAAAAATATTTTGCAGCCAATTAACCCAAAACGCCAATGCCCATCGAGAAAATAACTTAAAAGCATTGGGACCATACAAAGGACCTAAAAATTAAATATTTTTTTAAATTTTAATTTCCAATGATTACCGCAATATCAGCAATACTTAAAGAAAGAATATACATAGCCATATGCCTAAATGTATAGTTGACAGGACTTCGGGTTTTGTGAAGAATTCTTAAGACAGATAAAATCACCCACAAATTACCAACCATTCCGACGGTAAAAACCTTTGAAAAATTATTTTATTTTAATTATTAGTAGGGTTGGGGATTTCGAATCGGGCCGACGTTCGAGTCATTTCTTCGGCCCTCATTTTTAACGGGCCGGCCCGACCGAGTCTTTTTTCGATGCCCGACTCGATCTTTCGGACCGGACCAGGCCCCACCCTAATTATTAGTTAAAAGTATAGAGGGTTTTCCTTAATAATCCCAAAAATGAGTAAAACAATAATTATTTTTTTATTAGAAAAATAAAAGCTATGTATCATTGTACCTAATTTTAATTAATTTAAATAAAATATGTACTTACTGGGACAAAATAAATAATTAGAAGAATACGTCCCCATAAATTTTCTATCATTTTATTATAATAAAATATTTAAAATCTAAATAAAATAAATTAATTTATTTAAAATATATTTAAATAAAATGTCAAAAATATTATTTGAATTTTAATCTTAGAAATAAGACAAGTCAAGAGTTAAAGTGCGGATTAGCTTTGAATTTTTTTGTTTTATTTTTTTTTTGGAAAAAGTAATAAATATTCTGGTTAGTTTAATAATAAAATAATTAAAAAAATATTTTTTAAATGACGAGATATTTGTTTTTAGGTAATGAGAAATATTTTTTAATTTAACGAAAATTATGAATAATAAGGGAAAATAAGTTGCTAATATGTATTTACATATATTGAAAATAATTTGTAAAAAAATTTTTTTTAAATTAAATTCTGAAGGAAAATTAATGAATTTTATTTAAAAGAAATAATTTATTCTTAAAAAAAATTTTTTTTTAAATGTCAGTAAAAATGTTTTTAAATGGCAATTTTTATCTTTTGAAGGATTAATATACATTAACATTATACTCCCTTAATAAAGATTAGAAAAGAAAATTTATTGATATTTTTTAAAAAATTTTAGAAAATTTTTAAGAAATTAAATAAATAATTAAAAATTAAAAAATATTAATTTTAAAAGTCTTCTTTTACTCTGAAATTTTTTAAATACAATTTCCGTTAAAATTTTTATTGGCTTCTTTATTAACCTTTAATTTAATTTTTGTTTGTATTTATTTTAAAAAATAAAAAATATTTTTTTTAATTAATTTTATTTTTAAGCAAGAATTGTTTTTTCTAAAATATTTTTTTTTATTATTTTCCAACAGCATTTGATGTTAAATTATATTTTATTTTTAATTAGTAGGCTTGTCTTTTTTGGGTAAATAATTGAAAAAAGAAATAAAAATAAAAGCCGTGTCAAGAATAGCACAAAATAAAAGAAAATTAATACTAAAAATATTTTCTTTCAAGAGGATGTGACATAAATATTTTTATAAGGAGTTAAATTCCAAAGATGAAATGAGTGCTAAAAATGGAGGGGGAATTGAGGTAAAAAAGGTATTTGTGATTATTTACACAATACGTAATTTTTGTTTTTTTGGCCTTAAAAGGTTTTTAATTTAAATATAGTTTTAATTATTTTAAGAAAGAATATATCCAGAACTTGTATTTATCCAAAAAATTTTATTTTGGTTATCATAACATTTTTCGATTCCGGATTCCTTGGAACACTCTGGAACATTTTGGAACACTGTGGAACACCGTACAACACTCTGGAACTCCTTGGAACACTCTGGAACACTCCTCCAACAAACTACTCCAAGGTTCAATATAATTTCTGCACCTATTTATAATTAAAATTTGAAGTAATTGGAGTTATTAATTTAATTTTAAATGCCAAAAGCTTATTTAATAAAAATAACAAATAAAAATTAATTACAAAATAAATAATTAAACACGCCTTAAATTGTTTTGATTGTAATTAAACCAGGAGATATATAAAATAAAAGAAAAATTATTTAATTTATAAAATATTTTTAGCACAGAAATCAGCTTAAATTTACAAATAAAAAATATTTAAATAATTTAATTTAAAATAATTTTTATATAACGAGAATATTTTACTTAAACTAAAAATAAAATTCCGTAAAATAATATCATCTGTTTGTAAAGAGAAGTGGATATTAAAATAAAATAAAAAAAAAATTAATTTTAACAGACAAAAAGTGGAAATAAATAAATCTTATACGGAAACAAAAGCTATTTTTATAATAATTTTAAATTGCTGTCTCTGATATTAAAATTATTTAAAAAAATTTTTTAAACAAAAAAATTTTAAAAAGCAAAATAATAATTGTAATATACTAGTATATTCTATTTAATTATTTTACAACAAAAAGTTTTTTTATTTAAACTTTGATCTTTTTATTTAAAGGAGAGTTGCCTCCTTTTCTTAACTTTATGTAAATTTATTTAAAAAAATAATTTTGAGACAAATTTAATTAAATTTTGAGTGTATTTATTAGGAAATATAAATAATTTTTCTAGTAAATAACTAAGAATAGAAATTAATAAATAGACAAAAAAATTGTAAAAATAAATTAAATAATTAAATAAATATTTACAAAAATATTAATTAATTAAGTATAAAATTAAATTAATAATTCTTTAATTAAAAATTAATTTAATCTAAAATCAAAAATAACCTAGTACCTAAATTTAAATATAATGATTAGAAATATGACAGATGTTTTTTAAATATATATTTTTAGAAAACTTTAAATGTTAAATAAAAAGTTTGGACAAAAAATAGAGTGAAATTTTAAAAATTATATTTTTTATGTTCAAATTAATTTTTAATTTTTGTCAAAAATTTTTAGCAAATTTAAATTAAATGAGAAATAAAATAATAAAAATTAGTAGAAAATATTTAAAATAAAATTAATCTCTTACTTTTAAATTAATTTTAAAGAAAAAAATATTTTTTAAATATTCGCCATAAACTTTTCTTCAAATAAAATAATTATTTTTCGAATAATGAAAGGATTAAAAATACCGGAAGGTGTTTTAAAGTGGATATTTGCTAAAATAATTTTGTCGGTCTGTAAAAAAGTACATTTAAGAAGAGGAAGCTTTTAAGGAATTTATTTAAGTGGGAGGGAATGGAAAAAAATAATAAAAAAAAATATATTTAAATATATTAATTTTAAATGTTAAATTTAAAATTGATAAATTTTAACTGAAGAATTTATATTTTAATTTTCAAAAGTCTTATTTATTAGGAATAAAATTCAGACGAAATAAAAATCATTTGATTAAATAAAAAATTATTATTTTAATAAATATATTAATTAATTAAAGTATTTTTTAATAAAATAAATTTAATCGAAGCTCACTTATGAAAAGCCGTATACTAAAATCAGATGTAGTACATTATGCAGGGATATCCCTTATCACTTCCCAGAGTTAAACCAGATTAAAAATGTAAAAGGAATATTCACGTTAGTAGGGGGGAGGTCACGTAAGCGAGGTCCGACATTATGGTTATTTTGATTTTTAAATATAAACAATGAAATATAAATAAAATACAATGGGAGAAATTTAAAAAATATTTCCATTTTAATTTATTCTACAATTAATTTTTAATTTTTGTTTTGCAAATCAACAATATTAATTTAAATTATTTTGTCTTAATTTGTGATAAAAATTAAAAAAAATAAACTTAATAAATATATTAGTCATTAAATGATGAAAACATTTTTAAATTGATGTTTAAAATTAAAAGTTTATTTTATTTTTGAAGAAACACTTTAATTTTTATATTATTGGAGGATTAAAACTTGATAAATAAATTTATTATTTAAATACGACGAATATAATGATTAAATACTTAAAAACTTTAAAAACAAAATTAAAAAATATTTTAATTTAAAAAAATTTATAAATTATGTAGAAATTAAAAACAACTTGCAAATATTTTTAAATAAAAGGATTGAAATTGTAGAATAATTATGAAAAGAATAAAACTTGAAAATAAAAATTTAAAATAATTTTGTTTAAAATTATTTAACTTCTATTCGATTGAATTTCATGAATTATAGGTAAACTAAATCAAAATTTTAAAATAAATTAAAAATTAATCTTTTATATAGGAAATAGGTACATATATGTAATTATTTTGAATATAATTTTTTAAATTACATATATTCAAGATTACTAACATACCTAAATATAACTAATATTTAAATTTAAAAAGTTAAAACATTAAATTATTTTTTTGGTAAAATTTAAATTAAAAAAAAATAAATATTTATATTCCAAAAATGGTAAAATAAAAATATTTTTTAAATTCAAACATTTAACTTATGATTTTTTAAAGGGTTTAACAAGGTTGTTTTTAAATAAAAAAAGATAAATTTTAAAAATAAGCTTAATTAATGGAATAATTAGAAAAATAGAATTAGAGATTAGGCTTAATAAATAATATATTTTTGGATATTAATTTATTTGTTTTTTATTGGTGTATGGTTTTTTAATCTTTAAGTAATACATATTTATAAAAATTTTATTTAAATTTTATAAAATAATTAAGAATGAATAAATATAATTACGGAAGAGATGAAAAAAATTTCTTTTTAGATTCAAATAATTAGGGTAGCGTCTTCGGGGTCGGAAGTGTCGGGGATAGGAGTTTGCCGGGAAACCCCCAACCTCGAACCCCCCGACCTCTGATTCGAGGTCGGGGTCGTGCGTCATACATTAAATTAATTTCTGTTATAATAATTTCTATAATCCTAAAAGTTTATTTAATATTAAAAATAAAAATTTTTAAATTATTTTAAAAAATTATAAACAAAATTTATTTAACAGAAAAAATATAAATATATAAAAAAAAATATACAAAATAAAAATAGAATATATCTAATTATTCCATTATTTTTAGTTGTCATTGTTATATTTATTTATTTACATATTTCTTTTAATTGCCTAATTAAATTTTTATTTGCAACAAAAAATGTTGCTTATTTATATTTAATTAAAAAATAAATTAATTTAAATTATATATTTCCTTAAATAGATATTTTAGACAAGAAAAAAGAATTTTAATTGTAAAAAAATGATAAAAAAATAAGAATTTTTAAGTTTAGGTATAAAATAAAAAAATATTTTTTACATAATTTAACTAAAAATAAACATCAAAAACCGTCTCATCTTTAATTTTATTAATTTTTCTATTTATAGCATTATTTTGAAAGAAACCTTTGAATATTTTTAAAATAAAACGCTCAAGGAATTTATGTTAATTTTTATGTTTTGTTGCAAAAATATTATTTTTGGCTTAAAAATAAGGAAGAAAAATTTTGTTAAAAAATTATTGGAAACTAAAATAAATTATATTCGAAGCCTTTTGGCGTTGAGATAAATGCAACTTTATAAGAAAAGAAAGAATTTATTTAGCCAAAATTTAATATTAAAAATAGGATAAAGCAAGATTAAAATATTTTTTTGTGTCGAAAAGTTTAAGAGAAACACTCTTTGGCCCTCTTTTTGGCATTCAGCCCAGCCTGATTAATAAAAATAAATAGGTAGATATTATTAAGAGCTATGTAAAATAAAAAATGTTATAATTTTTCGAGTCAGAAATAATCAGTGATGTATGATGCCGTTATTAAGGGACCAACTTTTTTTAAATCAAGTAGTACATATGTATGTACAAGGACCGGTCCTGCCGCACGAAGGGCAGAAGAAATCGGAAAAAAATAAGAAGACGGACAAAAAAGATAAGGGTCAAAAAATTCGAAATTCTGTGAAGGTGAAAATTTTTGGAATTTTAGAAGGTTATATTTCTTCATTTTTTGGCATCGTGGCGAAATATTTTTGAAGTCAAAATAAATCTCTTAAAAAATAATGATCGTCACTAAGAGGTGAAGATCAGCGGAAGAGAGCAAAAAACCGAAAGCGGGAAAGTCAAAAGGGCAAATTATGCGGAAGATGGAAGGTGTGAGTGGAATAGAGCCCATCTTTCATACACAAATATTTAACATACATATTTATTTATTCTTGTTTAGTTATAATTTAATAATTAATATAAATTATATATAGTTAAAAAGGAACTACATTTTTTAATAGATTAGAAGGATTCAAGGGTTTACTGACACCAATGGCACTTCTGCAAGTCATTTTTTGCTGCATCCTGCGCACAATAAGTTGCTTCCTTCTCCTAATTTCCTCCGGGTTATCAAATTCTTAAATATATTTTAGATTGCAGCTTTAAGTAATTTCTTTGTAGTAATTAATGAATAAAAGTTTATTTACAAATAATTAAATAAGAATTTATAGATTTGTGATAAAGTTCTCTAATATGTTTTAGGTAGATCAGGTTAACCTTTAATTGGGTTATAATGCAAGAATAAAAAACATGCGTGATGATAGATAAGAGAATATTCGCGGATACTGGCGAGTACGGATATAAAATTTTGAGAAGGAGACAAAACGGGTTGATAAGGATACGTATGTTAATTCTTGGCATTACAAAATTCTTACAATTTTTGCCGACTTGTTGCCGCGAATTTTTTATGAACTTAATCAAAAATTTACATTCGTTAAATTTTTATTTAATTATTTTTAAATAAACTCTTATTAAAGAATTACTTCAGCAAAGTACTTCAGCTGTCAACTGATTATTTAATAACCTAAAAGAAGTTAGAGAAGGTAGCAAATTAGCAGAATGAATCAAAAAATTATTCTTTTGGTAAATGCCTTTTGCGGAACATTTGCCGGATTCAAAAATCTGACTGGAAACCCCGCGTTTTTTACATGTTCCGCACTTTAAATCCCACCCAAAGCTTTAGTAAAATCAAAAGGTTTTTTCTTTTTTTCTTCTTTCTTCTTCTTTCCCTTTGTTTTTTCATCTTTTTCCTTTTCTTCCTTCTTATTTTCTTCTTCTTTTGTTTCATCTTCTTTTTTAGATGACGGTTCATTTATGGCAATTCCTTTCATTGCTTTGGCAAAATTAAATTTTTGTTTTGTATTTTTAACTTCTTCCTTTTCTTCTTCAATTTTATTAACACTTTCGTCTTCCCTTTTTTCTTCAATTTCTTCTTCTTTTTCAATATTATAAATATAATTTTCATCAAACATATATTTAATTTTAACAAAATTAAAATCTCTGACCAAAACATCAACAATTTCTATTTTTCCATCATCTTCATCATCATCATTTCCATCATTTTCATAAATATTTATTTTTATCCCTTTTTTCATTTTTTTAATAATTTTTATTTTATTTTCTTCATCCATTCCTTTAATTGAATAACATTTTTCTTTATTTACATCATCAACATTTGTATAAATTTTAAATGAGGATTCAATTGAATGAAATAAAAATGCTATTTCATTTTCAATTAAATACCCTATAGGTGTCAAAAAAATTAAATAATTCCCAATTTTTTCAAATTTTATACAAAATCCAATATAATTTCCTTTAATTTCTTCAATTCTTTTATTTTCAATTACTATATTGTCCACAAATTTATTTTTATATTTAATTCTTTCTTCTTTTTTTAAATTTTTTATTTTTTGTAAACTTTCAGAATTTGAAATATAAGTTAAATTAATTAATTTATATTTATTAATATTTTTTCGTTTAATTATAGCTTTGTTAGGCAAAATAATTTTTCTTTTTTTATTATCTAATTCCTTTTCAACTATTTGTAAAGCATTATCTATTGGCGAAATTTCCATTATTGGCTACAAAATTAAAAAAATTCTTAATTAAAATTTTTATTTATTTTTATATTCAATCATGGAATCTTTAATAAAAATTTTTTGGTCGAATTTCAAACGATAAATCGGGGAAGGGTTGGCGAAATTTCAATATAGGTATATCCATTTTCCGTTTTTATTCCCAAACAGTATTGCAACTAAATTTTAAAAACCTTAATTAACAAAAAAAATATTTAATAAAATTTATATTTGCTACCAAAAATCTTCATCCAAAATAATGTTATTGCTGTATTTTCTTTTTAACAATTTTATTTATAAATATTCCCGATTTAAATACATCTCTGTATTCCTCCTCAATTTTCAATATCCATTTCCCGTTTTTGTTTGTTGATTTCGATGACCGTTCTATCTTGTAATGAGTTTTATTTACATCCGGATCAGATGAAGTTAAAAAAAATTAAATATCCTTCTTCCTTCATTTCTTCACTAATTTCAATAATTATTTCAATCATTTTTGGTTTATTTAAATCCCCCTTTTTAATTTCCATTTTTATCAAATTTATATTACTAAGTGGACTATCCTCTAATTTTTCAACAAAAATCTTTTCCTCAATTTCATTATTCAGAGAGATAAATGAAAAAAGTTGTAAAATAATTTGAATAAAAAATATAAATTTTAAATTCATTATTTTACCTAAAAATTTAATAAAATATTAGTTAAAGGGATTTAGATAAGCAGGCGTTTGGAACGATATCTTTATACCTTAAATACCTCGAATTTCAGAAGGACAAATGGTTTTACACCACATGATCCCTCGATGTCAGGTCCAAATCCCATTATCGTATAACCTGTATTAATTGCCCTCCCTCAAATAATTACCAAACTTCCATAAAAACCCCATCCAACAATAGATTGAAACAATAATTACCCCCAAACAAATGCCCTAAAACACGTTCAAATTTCAAACCTCGTATAATTACCCTCCAGCGCAAGGTCGAAACAATAATTACCCAGGGTAGTTATTAAAGGATATACGGTATATTCACTTTGACCCCTTGAAATTTCCCGATATCACTCAAGGTCCACTTTAATCCGACCAAATCCCTCGATATATTTCGGATTAGCTTTTTAGCGCCGCAGGCAAAAATTTTGACATTTTTTGAAGGCCAGGGAGCCAGATCTCTTACTTTTTTGGCGCCGCAGGCGAAAAGTTTTACTTTTTTGTATGTTTAAAGTAGTTAAACTTTACATCGGGATTTTCCAAAAACCTCAACCTCGTCCGACACAATCAAAAAATGTTTTATCTAGAATTAATAGAAGGACTGTAAAGCATATAGATATTTAATTCCTATTGAAAGAAAAGAAGAAAATAACAATTTTTCTATAAAATAAATGCAAGTAATCCGGTAATCAATGTTGTAATCTATGGTGAATTGGGAAAAAACTGAAATGTGGTGTAAAGGATTACACATCAATACGGCCAACTGAAGATTCTGGTTCGTTCCCAGCCGGCGAATAGCTGATAAATCAACACTAGCTGATTTATAACTACCATTATAAATTTATTTGTTTTGGGAAAAATTTTATTAATAAAAGTACGAATACCTTTTATTATTTTATATATGTACTTCTCGGCAATTTTTTTAAAGTACAGATTTTGAAATATAAAAGACAAACTGTCTAATAACCTTATATATGTGTACTTTATTCGGCAATATAGGGTACAAATAAAATGTAGTTTATTAGGCAATCAAAGGTACAAATAAAATGTAAAGCCTCTCACCGAGCTAAGTTCAAATATGAAAGAATCTTTTGCCGAAGATGAAACACCGCAGAGATGCAGGCTCCTGAACATCGAAAAACCTTTTTAAATTGAACGGATACGGATGCTCCAAATCAACGGATATCCGTCCCTAATTTCTGCGATTAAACATTCTAATTAAATTATAAAAATTTAATCAAATTACTTGACAGTTTTAAATTGAAAGCAAATTTTAATTATTTTAAGTTAAAAATATAATATATGTAATTGCAAATGACATTAAATATTGCACAACATTATTTTCTTAATTTAATATGTAAATTTCATTTGGATATTAATTGGCCGAAACAAATGATCCGTGGACTTTTTTCAATTCAATCGGTTCAATTCCCAAGTCATAAACATCTCGATAGTCACAATTTTGTAAATGATCAATTATTGGTCCTTGAGGTTGAACAATTAGTGAAGGTATTGAGCCTTGGACAGCTGAGAAACTCTCGTACTTAAAATAATTTGTTATTTTATAAAATTCAGAAAAATTATTTTTAGAGAAATCAAATCCTTAGGTGTGTTAAAAAGTTCCGGTTTAACCGGAACCGTAACTTCGGCGCAACACTATTACCAAAGCATATGATCTCATACTTATTTGCTCAACTTAGAAAAACTAGTAAAAAATATGCCTAATAAAGCTATTTGAAATTTTAGCTATTTTTAGGTTAATAAATAAAATAATGGCCTATTTTTTGCCATATATTTGACCGATTTCACCCTATTTTTGCCTTATTTTTGAGTGGCTGCGCCCTATCTAGTGTTTTGGAAAGGGCAACCTTGGTATAGTTCTGATCAAAAGCTTATACATGAACATTTAAATAGAAATACTAAAAACAAACAAATCCGTCTTCAACAAATCTATTACCAACAAATCCATCTCCGAAAACTCGTTTCTTTTTCCATTTTATTTCAACACATAAACGATGGGGCAATAATTTGGGTAATAATTGATACATTCTACTACAAGTAACAGATAATGTTCGAAGAGAAGCATCATCCATCCATCTTGCAATGAGCAAATAAAAATGTGAAGGCATTTCGGCAAGGAAAAAACCTAAAATGTGGTTATTGGTTCAGTGCTTAAAAGGAGTGTGTTATCTACCCGAGGATGAGGCTGATGGCACGCACATCAAAATAGGCAAATTAGGCATTGGTTCATATACACACGCAGACAAGAAAGAATTATACCTAAATTAAAGGTTGGTCTTTTTCTTTCCTAGAATATTAACCAAAAAACTGATTTTGCTGCATACATAAAGTGAGTTTTTAAAGACTAAGTCAAAATATAAAATAATGATTAAAAATAAAGTTTGTGTGAAATTAGTCCGTAAAGCCTCAATTAATTAAAATTATTTAACCTCACCTAAACACTCCATTTCCTTTAAGTGGTGTTAAAGTATTCATTTTAAATGAGCACCCTCTCTGCCAGTTCGGACATCTTGCTATAAAATTATAAGGCGTGGATTCATCCAAAATATTGTGTGAAGCATAATGAGAGCTAAATTGGCTACGAGGGATAGAACAAGCAGCACAACCAAAAATTGGGTAGTTTACGCTGAGGTATTCTTCGCCCAAGACAATGCTAAGAAATGGAATATTTGGAGTAACCTGAGGAAAAAATATAAATTAAAATATGAGTAGGAATTAGCAAGTTAGTCAAAGACCAGGAATCGAGATTACAACCTTCCGATAGTTATTGCTAGACGTTTCAACCAACCGGGGCAATGATTTTACCCATAAATGGGGTAATGATTAAACCCATAAATAAGCGTGGATCTTGCGGATCTTTTACATTTCTTTGTTCAATTAATCAAAGCGGACATAAGAGGCTAAATAATTTTATGTCCGCTTTTGATTAATTGAACAAAGAGATTAATTAAAATTTAAGTTCAGGAAAATTGTAATGAAGTTACAAAAACTTATTGTTAGTTAGACACCCCCGAATTTTCGAATATTTCGAAATAAAATTGTCCCTTTTTCCTTTCCCTATACTCTGATTGGTATAATAGAGTGAAATTTTTAACGGTTTATAAAAAGAAAAACTTACAAGTAAACTTCTCTTCCGGTAAAATTCAGGTAAAAAACTCAAAATTGAATTATTATCAAATAATTTTAAAATATTTTTCTTCTTTTGTTCAAAATCCCCATTCTCTTTGTTTTCTTTCATTGACCCCAATTGATGTAAATGTTGACTTCCTAAAACAAATTGTTTGACTAGATTTCAACAAATAAACCTGGATCTAACTTGCATAGACGACAACCAGCAAAAGGCTCACAAATTTTTTTGTTTTTGATTTCCTGGATAATAAATTTTAAATGAGCAAAATCGAGAAAGTTTGCAAATGTTTTCAAAAATTTTTGAGGGTCTGATAAATAATAAGATTACTGTCAATGTAGCAAATATGTCGAAATTTTTAGAAAAAAAGTTTTCTGTTAATGGGATTCGACCGGAGCTGTGCGCAATTGAAAAAATTTTCCGCAGCCGCAATCCGCAATTTTACCAATCCGCAGTCCGCGATCCACAGTTGCGGACAGCCCTGGATTCGACAACCAATTTTTTAGTTATAAAATAGTCCCGGTACATCATACGGACCTTGGTGTCAATCATTAAAAGGGTCGTTCTATAAAATTCCAAACTCACAATTTCTTGTTTTTCTTCATCACTGCTGTCAAAATAATCGGAATCTGGTTCATTTAAACTAAATTTTCTTTTGTAGAAATTTTTGTCTTCCAACGGCGCTTCACTTACTACTTCATTTTGCCGATTTTTATATTTATTTATTACTAAAGAATTTTGTTTGATGAAATCCATTGCGATTGCGGTAGGGCGAAGAGTAGAACGTTTTTTACGTGGAATTTGGAAGAATTTTGTTAGAATTTTCTTTAAAAATGAAAATATTTTTAAGAATTCATTTTTTTGTAGAAAAAATTTGCGGAAAATTTTTGTAGAATTTTTTAGTTTTTAAGTTAAAAGCCAAAAAAATCTAATTAAAAAAACATTTAGCCAATAAAAGGGAAAATTTCTGATTAATGAAAATAAATTTTGAAGAGGATGAACACCAGGAAATTTCCAGATGTAAAAAAATCGAGAAAATTGCCTTCATCTATCCAATCAAAACAGAATTTATCCCCATGGAAAATTAATTCGGAATTTTTTTAAATAAAATTTTAAAAAATTGGTCCCCAAATCTAATCCGCAAAAAACTCAATAAAATTAAAAACCTGATCAATTAAAGCAATTGCAATGTCTGGGACTTCAAGTTCATTTAATTCCTCCATTGTTTTCTCATTTTCGGGAAATATTTTTTCTCCAGTCCTGGCAATTCTTTTTAACAATTTTTTAGCTTTTGCAGAGTAAAACTGTCGATTGCGAACAAATGGACAAAAAACTAAAGAAGCACAACAGAAAGCAATATGTTCGGCAATAAGTTGTCGACGAAGTCGAACATTGCAGCCATAAATTGTGTTAGGGCAAGTGCAGGGGGCCTAAGAAAAAATTTTTTTGAACTTTATGAGTCGTCTTTTTCCTTTTCTATTCATAATTACTGTAAAATTCAAGTTCGTTCCCCCCTCCTTTTTCTTTCCTCAAAATATTAAAAAATGGTCAGTCAGTCTTAGGTTATATGTAGAACTCGTCGATCACAATTTCCAATCACGTCGATTTTGGTGACATTCATCGAGTTCTATAACCTAACTATAAGACTGACTGACCATTTTTTATATTTTGAGGAAGGAAAAAGGAGGGGGGGGGGGGGTAACGAACTTGAATTTTACCATAATTCATTTTTATTTTGTTTTATCTTCAAGAGTTTTTTTGCGAGAAAAAATACGAGACAAAAGTTTAAAATTACCGAATAGTTAAAAAAAATTTTTCTAATTTCAAAAAAAGAACCTTTCCACAAATGTGCTCAATATGATCTTCCAATTTGCATTTATGTAAACGAACGCCACAGAAGTTACAATGTATAAGTGGACATAAATCACCTTGTTTACAATTTAATTTAATACAATTGACACAATGTACATGTTCTGATGGAAAGGATTTATCAATAATTGTAGGTTCAATAAACATTTCTGGCAAAGAAAAATTTGTATAAATTTTATAAAACTAATTTAAAATTTGGAAAAACTTTGGTTAGCTTAATTTCAAAATTTCATTAAAATTTATTTCGGAAAAGGATATTTAATTCTGGCCAGTTTAGTCGGCGCGGTACAAGACGAATAGGCGCAGAGACAATTTGGCGCGAAACGTTTGGGCGCCCGAAGTTATTTTTTCCTGAAAATTTTTTTGTTCTGATTTTTCTTCTGATTCAGAAGAAAAAATCATAACAAAAATCAGAAAAAAAATTAGAAGAAAAAAATTTTTAGGTAAAATACCTTCGGGCGCCTAAACGTCCCGCGCCTATTCGTCTCTTTCTATTTGTCTCCGCGCTTTTCGTCCGCGCCTATTCGGCCCTCCTAATTTTTCCAATAAAATATTGAATTCTTATTCTTTATTTTTTACTTTCAACAAATGTAGATGAATTTTTTAATTGGTTATGAACACTTTATTGGAGGAATTGCGGGAGGATTTGTCAGTACGGCAACTTGTCATCCTTTTGGTTTTTTTTAATTTAATTTTTTTAATTAAAAAAAATATTTTTAGATCTGTTGAAAATTCGTTATTCAGGTTTTTTCTTAATTTAAAATAAATTTTATTGATTTTTTGGGAGGATAATTTTTGCGGACAATTTTTTGCGCATTTTTTCTTTTAACAGTCGATTTAAAAAAATAATTTTATTCGCACAAGTATTTTTATTGGTTTTTATTTTTAGGAAAATTAATTTGACGCATTTTCGGAATCAGGAAAATTAAAAGATTAACGGAAATTTTAGGGCAAATAGGAAAAATGGGTGGAAGAAGTCCGCAAAAATTATAAAAATTTAGGCTCTTGTCCAGTTTATGCGTCCCATCAAAGTATATGCGTCCCATCAACAAAAAATTGGATATTTCTTGGTGTTGCAAAGTAGGGGTATGGTTCCAAAGCATTTCTTCATGTTCGGGACCACGCCCATCGGGTTTGGGACCGTTCCTTACCCTATACCTCGAAATTTCTGAAAGTTAAAATCGTTTTTCTGAAATTTTTAAAAATTGGCTATAACTTTCAGAAATTTCGAGATATAGGGTAAGGAACGGTCCCAGACCCAGTGGACGTAGATCCCGAACATGAAGAAATGCTTTGGAACCATACCCCTACTTTGCAACACCAAGAAAGGTCCAATTTTTTGTTGATGGGACGCATATACTTTCATGGGACGCATAAACTGGACAAGGGCCAAAATTTAATCCCCTCTTTACAAATTTCAAATTTTTAGCAAATGAAGGCAACCAACTGAGACCAAAATATTCTAGCTACTTGGACGCTATCCGCAAAATTTATTCAGCAAATGGAGTTAAAGGATTATATAGAGGAATTACACCCGCTGTGGTTGCTGCACCTTTGTCTTGGGGTCTCTACTTTCATTTGTTTGTTTTTAAATTATTTTTTTGGTATTTTTGCGGACAATTTTGGATATTTCCCCTCTTTTCTTTATTTTTCTTTTTTTGCCATTGCCAGTTTTTTGAATGTTTGCAGAAATTCTAGGCAAAAAAGACAACTAGGGGTGGGGGTGTGGATTTAGTACTTTTTCCTATTCGAGAAGTTTCCTATTCCTTTATCTTTTGAATTTTCAATTAATTTTCCTTTTTTTTAATTCTTTTGAAAAATTTTTAGTTATAATCGAATCCGCTCATTTACAAATACCTCACCAAAATATCCATTTTTTGATAATTTGTTGGCCGGTTCAATTACTGGAGGAATTATTCTTTCATTAACAAATCCTTTTTGGGTATGTAAAACTAGAATGTGCTTACAATATGAACATTTGGTAGATGAAAAACAATTTTCTGGACTTGTTGGATGTCTAAAAAATATATGGAAAACAGAAGGACTGAGAGGATTTTATAAGGTTTTTTTAATTTTTCGACTGTTCTCTAACAATAAAACAATTTTCGGTAATATTGAACCGGACAGACCCCCTTTTTTCCTCCCAAATTTTCCCTCTTTTTGCAAAATGGTCAGACTTTTTTTTTTCTTCTATCCAATTTGACTTTGTAATTTTCTTCCTACAATTAAACAAAAATGATTATTTAATTATATATATTTACATGACAAAAACAAGTAAAGGTAGGAAAAATATACGGAAAAATTGGGAAGGAAAAAAGGGGTCTGTCCGCTTCAATATTACCCAATTTTCTTTTACTTTAATTTAAATTTTTTTCAACTTTCTAGTTTTAATGAATTTCTTTCCTTTTTAAAGGGTTACATCCCAGGTCTAATAGGCACTACCAACGGAGCTGTTCAATTTGCAATTTACAACAGATTAAAAGATTATCGTTGTCATTCACTCGGATTGGCACAAGACTCCCAATTGGTTTAGTTTATTTTTATAAAATTAAACAAAAAAATTTTAGAAACCTTTGGATTATTTATTATTTTCTACAATATCAAAATGTTCCTCAACAATTATCACTTTTCCATATCAAGTTTTAAGAACTCGTTTACAGGTATTTAACTAAGAGAATTTCATTTAATTTTTTCCTTAAAAGACCAGTCAAGATCAAATTTTGATTAAAATTTAATTAATTAAAATACCTTTAGAAATTGCTACTAGGTACCAATCCCACGTTTTATCAAGCCACTTTTAATCATTGCCCTCCCAAAAATTTTTTCCCTAATTTGGGGAGGTATGGCTAAAAAGTCTTCCAGTTATCCCAACGAATTTATTTTATATTCTATAATTTTATTTAAAGAATAACTGAATAAAAAATATGAATTTCCCTGATGAAAATAGAAAAGGCAAAAAAAATTTCGATTTTGATTTCAACTGATGTCTTTTAACCAGATTCCTGACCTCGATTCAGGGAAAGCAGGGAACCCCGAAGCTGCCCTCACCATTATTCTGAATCCGGGCCAATCTCTCTAACAGTTTTTTAAACATTTATAGGATCATCATGTCAAATATACGGGCACTATAGACTGCTTTTCTAGAACACTTAAAGTGGAAGGAATTTTTGGTAAGAAAATAAAAATTTTAGAAAAAAAATTACTTAAAATTTTAAAGGGTTTTATAAAGGTTGTTTAGCCGCAACAATAAAACAACTTCCCTACAGTGTAATAACTTATATTGTTTATGAACAAACACGTTATTATATTGAAAGATTGTCAAAAACATAATATTTTTTGTTGAATTTTTTGCTTTGTTTTTAACTTTATTTTAATAGACCTCAAAATTTGTTTTTAAAAATTTTTATTTTTTGTTAAAAGTTTTTATAATTTATACAAATTTTAGCTGCTTCAGTAACAATGCTTAGGATTAGGTAACTATAAAATCGCTAGCCTCCCTTTTCCCCAGTCCATAAGTTAATCATGTGAAAATTGAGTATAAGTAATTCTGTAAATCTTAATTTTTCTACTGCTGACGTTAAATAAGTCAAGTCCATTGCTTTGAAATTTCAGATATTTTCCTACTCGTGCCAATCGCTAACGTATTTTGGTACAGCTTCGAAGCATTGGTCAAATTGCGCCTTTGGCACAATGAAAATTAAATTTTCAGGTTATTCTCTAGTCACATTCTCTAACGCACTCTAATTTAATAAGTACCGAACCAAAAATTTAAATAAATTTACGCTATGTTCGGGGGACAGTAGTAACATTTTTAAATAAAGCAAAGAGAAAATAAATTTAATAAAGATAAAATAAAAATTTAGGTGCTGTACATTTTGTGGCTCCAAACCCTCCAGCTCTGGAGTCTGAGTTTTTCTGAACCACTCCGATTTTGGGTAGTAGATTAATAACTAATTTTCAGGACGTAGAAATTAACTTTTTCTGAATAAAAAATAATTTCCCAATAAAAATAAATTAATTAGACAGCTTGTTCACAAGGTTGGATTCGAATCTATTAGAATAACAATAAGCAAATAGCTTGTCAATTGAAGTCCAACATCTTAAACACTCACTCTTACATACTTTTTGAGATGGAGAATTTAAGAAGTGGAACTTCAGTTCCGGGTTGTTAAAATCTTATCTCGATTTCAGCTCCGGGTATTTTTAACCTTAAGCTCCGGTTTCAGTTAAATCTGGGTCTGGAGCTAGCCTCGGAGCCATGTACCGCACTGAATATACTGTAATCTGTCTCTAAACAAGTAATCTGTCTCTAAACTTTTTTTAATTTTCAAGAAGTCTTCTACGTCTTTTTCAATGTTCAATTTCTTCGCAGTAAACGATTTATACGTCCTAATAAATTAAAAAATATAATTATTAAAAATTTAATTGTTGTCATTTCACAGTAATCTTACTTAATAAATGTGTAGACTTTCTAGTCAAGTATTTACCAGTTGCGAGTTAAAAATTTAAAAAATTTGATCTGGAAAGCTGTTTGTATGTGATTCACGAATTTTAAAGAATTAATAGGGAATTTGACGAATAGGGAATTTTTTAAAGAATTTTTAATGAATTTCTATCAACTGAACTTGTGAATTTCATCTTATGAACACCCTGAACTCGTAAAATTTTCGCCCTTTTTTCTCCCAATAGAAACAATTTCATTACATACCTCGAAAGCCTCTATGAGCATTTCTTTGCGCTTGGTTGTTTGGTTCTGGATTTTCAATTTGAGGCTGATCTTCAAGTTCATTAGCTTGTGTATCTTGCCGACAAATCGGGCATATCTGCTGTGATCTAAGCCTGAATCATTGAAAAAATCACAAATTTAGTTATGCACCAATTTTTGTAATAAAAACTATTTAAAGATTTTTTATTTTCCATGAAAGTGTGGTGTAATTTAAAAAATTAAGGAATTTTAAAAGGTTTATTTGCTAATTTTAACATTTAAAAATAACAAAATATTTACCACGGCTGAATACAATCTTTATGGAAAACATGCTAAAAAATTAAAAATGTTAATAAATTAAATAATTATTTTTATTTAAACTTTGCAATTTTTCAATTGTTGTTCATTCTCGTATACTTTCCCTAAACAAATAGCACAATCC